GGCGGCAATGGCGGCGCCATGGGCGTGGGCGCCGGCCAAGGCGGCATGTGCCCGGCTGGACCGGGCGCCGTTGCCAGCACCGGCAATCCCTATCAGAATCAAGGGTAAGCTAACAACAATCCCAGCTGGCCAATGATGCAGTTGCTCATTCTCGATATCTCCCTTGCAGTTTCCAGCAAAACTATCAGCACAGTCCAGTTCCTGGCAATCCGACGCCGCCGCTGACGCCTGCCTGCAGCGTGCCCTATGTCAGCCCCAATCCGGACATCAAGCCGCCAATGGATAGCAGTAAGTCCATACCTAGTTGCACTCTCTTATAGCATCCACTAATCCCCAACTCTGTGCAGGCGAAGAGATGAGACTGACATTCCCGGTGCGCGATGGCATCATCTTGCCACCGTTCCGCCTGCTTCACAATCTCTCGGTCAGCAATCACGTGTTCCATCTAAAACAGAATGTTTACAACACGCTGATGTGCCGGTAAGTATATATCTAAACTTACCCAATCCTCGCCAGAAACTAACTTCTATCTCTCTCTCTCTCTCTTAGCACCGATTTGGAGCTGCAGCTGAAATGCTTCCATCAGGACGATCGCCAGATGAACACCAATTGGCCGCACACGGTCACCGTCTCCGCCAATGCCACGCCCCTCAACATCGAGCGCTCCGAGAAGAACAGCACGGCGCTGCGTCCGCTCTACTTGAAGGCCGTCTGCCAACCGGGACGCAATACGCTCCAACTAACCGCCAGTTCCTGTTGTTGTGTAAGTGAATCAGATGTGGATCTGATGATCTTTGGCATCCTTAGCCTAACTGTCTCTTTTCTCCCTCTGCAGTCCCATCTGTTTGTGCTGCAACTAGTCCATCGACCATCGGTGCGCCAGGTGCTGCAGACGCTGCATAAGCGCAATCTATTGCCACTGGAGCACAGCGTGCAGAAGATCAAGCGCAACCTGAGCCTGCCCAGCGTGGGTGCGGACGGCGTGGCCACCGGCAACAGTCCGGATGCCGCCCAGCAGTGCGCCAAGATCTCATTGAAGTGCCCCATCACGAAGAGCCGAATACGATTGCCGGCGCGCGGTCACGAGTGCAAGCACGTGCAATGCTTCGACCTGGAGGCGTATCTCATGATCAACAGCGAGCGCGGCTCCTGGCGCTGTCCGGAGTGCAGCAAGTCGGCCATCACAGACACCCTGGAGATCGATCAGTACATCTGGGCCATACTCAACACGCTGAGCACCTCCGACGTGGACGAGGTGATCATTGACTCATCGGCCAATTGGCGGGCCTTGCAGCACAATGGCGGCATGCCGAATGCACCACAGTCGGGCGCACCGCCGGGCAGTGCTGTGGCCGCCGCTGGCACCGCTGGCAGCGTCAACAACAGCAACGGCAACAACAGCACCAGCAGCAGCAACAACAACAGCACCAACAGCAGCAACAACAACAGTTTGCCGGCTATCAAGCAGGAGCTGTGCGACGACATTGCCAAGGTGATGTCGCCGGGCTCCACGCAGCTGCCCACCTGGGACAACTCGCAGGCCATGAGTCCCTACAACATGCACGACATGAATTCCATTGCCAACGGCAACATGATGGGCAACAACAACGCAGCCAACGGGGCACAGCTGTAAGTACTCAAAGAGGAAGAGAATCCGATTCGAGCAGTCGCTCACCTTCTCTCTCTCTCTCTCTCTCTCTCTCCCTTGCAGTGGCAATCGCAGCAGCTATGATGGCTTCAATGGCAGCCACAGCGACAACAACAGCCTGGCCAACAGCGACGGGGTCAACTCGTTGGATCAGCTCAATGCCATGGAGAAATCACTGAGCGATCAGGTGAGCTCACAGCAAGCAAAAGCAAATGCTCAAATGACTAATCCTCTCTCTCTCTTCCTCTCTCTCTGGATAGATGCCACACACGCCGCATACGCCGCACACACCTGGCGCCGCCAGCCATCCCATGACACCTGGTGGTCCGCCCAGCGTCAGCTCCTCCCACAATGAGCCCATTAGCGGCGGCACGCCCAATGCCTCCAATGGCGGCAACAATGCCAACAACAACAGCACTGGACACAATTCACCACAGACGCCGGGCACGCCCAGCCGCAGCCTGGGCAGCAGCACCAGCATGTCCAACACGGACAGCCAGCAGCAACAGCAACAGCAGCAGCAGCAACAATCCCAGCAGGAGCAACTGCTCAACTCGCTGATAAGCAGCCAGGCGCAGCTGAAGTTCGAGAACGATTTGAGTGCGGATCTGCAGAACTTTGATCCCACCGCTGCCGGACTCGATAATACCGGACACGATTTGAATGTAAGTAACGAGTGCAAGCAGCTAAAGAGTTGGGGGAGCTGGATAAGAGTAGATGAGAACTGAGTTAGAAAGTGTAGAGCAATGAGAGTTGGAGACAGCGACGAGTGTTGAGTAAGCAGTGCTGGGCAAAGAGTGTTGAGTAATGAGTGCTGGGTAATCTTGCGATGAGTGTATAAAAAGACTGAGTCCAATGGCGAGGCAGCTTAGCGAGTGATCAACCACATTAACCAACACTTAACAAACTTTGCTTAATACCGATAGCAGTTCAGCAATTGTCGAGCATAACAGCCCCACCCACTTTTAAACCAACCTGAAGCTAACCTCTCTCTTTGTTTTCTCTTTGCAGCTGTTGCAGGATATGGATCCAATGGAAATCTTATCGTACCTGGATCCGCAGCCAGATTTGAATACGCCACCGTCCAGTGGCAGCAGCAATAACAATGCTAGCGACGATTTGTTGGCCACGCTATTCGATTGAAGTGTGCGCCAGTGTTGTGCAACGCCTGTGGTTGTAGTTGACAGTTATGAGAGAAGCATGATTGAGAAATTCCTTAACAAAGAAATGAAATGAAAGTGAAAAAAATTAAAAAAAAAAAAAAAAAGAAATGAAATGGATTGAAACCATATTTGTATATAGTATTATTAATTTTAATGAATTGTGCGCTTTAGTGAGACGCATAATTCACAACAAAGAAAACAAAAACCAATTTCGTTTCCTCACACACACACAAATACACACACACACACACACACACACACACACACACACACACAACAACACAAAATCGAAGCAGCAAATGCAAAAAATTTTGAATTTGCAGTGTTGAAAAACAATGAAATGTGATTTAAAAATTAATTAATTAAATTAATTGGCATTTAATTTAAAGCATAAAAGAAAACCAACAGCAACAATAACAAAAACAAAACAAGTAACAACAACAACAAACAGTCATTATACCGTTAAAAATAAGAATTCAGTTTGAGAGCAAAAACAAGAAAAAAAATTCCTTCAATGAAATTTACGAATTTAACTAAAAGGAAAACTTTTATTTTTAATATAATTTTTTCTCGTTTATTGGAAAAAAAAGAAGAAAACACAATGTAATATTTTGATTTACATTTTCCTATGCGAAATCTGTTTCTTGTTTATTGTACAAAGTATTAAAAAGAAAAAGAAAAAAAATGAAAATAAAAAAAAAAAAAAAAAAACTACAACAGAAATGGTAAAAAAAAAAGAAAAGGGAAACATGAGCAAACAAAAACAAAACGAAAAACATGAATTAAAATGAGCATAAAAATCCCAACAATTTTATTACATTTATAAAATGAAAAACATTTACATTTTAATTGTTGCATAATTTTAATTATTTTTTAAAGCCTATAAAATAAAATAAAATGATTTAACATAAAGATAAATTTAACGACAACAAATATATATAACAAATACAGCAACAGCAAAAATATTAATTGTAAAAATTAAAAAATATATAATTATATATCTTAAGGCAGTTTAGAGAGCGCAAACAAACTATTAAAAATTTAAATCAAATTTAATGCTAGAACTTAAATATAAATATTAAAATAAAATATATAAAAAACAACAATTTGTATATATCGGATATGTATGTTATATGCAACACAAAAAAAAAAAATTAATTAATACATATAAATAAAAAAATACATATATATATATACAAAAAAGTATTGTTTAAAAACAATTTGAGTTTGGTTTTATTTTGCTTTCAGTTTCGTTTATGATTTAAATATTTAATTTAAATTTTTCAGTTTTTGCTGTGGTTAACATGGACCAATTTTTATACATATATACATATATGTATGTATATATATATATATATATATGTATATATATATACATATATACACCCACACACCGAACGATTTTTGAGCAGCATAACTAAAAAAAAAAAGGAAAACAAAAAAGTTATATGATAATTATTACAATTATGCATATTATGCATATATATACATATATTTAAAGCAAAAAACAAGGAGAACAAATATTAAAAAAATTTAAAAATAGCAAAATTTTTAAGCGAATTAAATGCTTCTCGAGTCAACAAAAATAAATGCTTACAACAATTATTGCTAAACAAATCTCGTCAATGTGTTAGTTAAATGAATCTCAACTTTTCTCAATGTTATATCAAAAACAAAACAAAAACAAACCATATGCTAAATTATTATATAATGCTTATCGTATTCTTATTGATAAAAACAAAAAAAAAGGAAAAACAAAAGCCCCATATGATATATAAACAAAAGAAAAAAACAAAAAAAAATTGTAGTGGTTTCATTGTAAAACAATATTTCATAAATTTACGATTAGCTTCGACATTTTTCTCGCTTCTAAAAAAAAAAAAAAAAAAACGAAAAAAAAAAAAATGGAAACAGAAATTTGCAAAATGAAAACCTTAAAACATAAAAAACTTTAAAATCTAATAACTCGGTCACTTTGTTTGCGCAGTGTATAGCCAACAGCGTTGCCAGATCGCTGCGATGCGTATGTTGTTTATGCGCTGCGAGAAAGTGAACCACAGACAGTTCATTGGAACCGGTTCGGGGTCAGTTTAAGGCCATGGAATATGCGCAAATGTGATTTTATTCAAAATAAAATACACATATAACAAGACAAAACAAAAACAAACAAAAAAATAAAATAAACATTATTACAATTAATGACATTTTTATTGAATCGGCATCGGCTGAGAGTGTGTGTGAATGGGAGAGTGTACATACGAGTATTTATCTAAAATAATACATAATGGATATATATGCATATGTATATGTATATATATAATTATATATATACATATATATATTTAATGCTAGCGTTTAAGTTGTAATTTTAAATGATGAAACAAAAGCAAATACACAATTAAATTATATGAAATTAAATGGGGATTGCTTTCGATTCAAGTTTTCAGTTCCAACGGCTCTTCTTGGCGCGCTTCGCATCCGCATTGCTACCTGAGGCTGTGGAGGGTGTGGAAGAGTTGCCGCCTGCAGCTGGCGGCGGCGGAGGTGGCGGTGCGGCAAAGACGCCCGTCTCGGGCACAGTCTGTTCCCAGGTGCGATCGCTGGAAGCGCGAAACTGTGAGGAGTATTGCGAGCGGAAGGCTTGACGTATGGCTGAATAGCGATCCGTGGCGGGTCCGCCGCCAGACAGCGACTTAGTGGACTCGCCGAGGGGGCCTTTGGTTTTAGGTACAGCGCCAGCAGATGCACCAGCTCCTCCACTTCCGCCGCCCGCATTGCCCGACCGCTCGCGATAGCCCAGACCCATGAAATTGTTGACGGGCTTGCGTCCCTTGCCCTGCTTGAAGCGTGAGCTGCGGAACCAGGAGCTCTTCATGGCCAGCTCCATTAGATCGTCGGGCACCGTTTGATCGGCACCTTCCAGGTTGCGCACCAGATGCCCAGCAAACTCCTTGTCCTTATCGGTGACCAGGGTGTAGGCGTTGCCCTTCTCGCCAGCACGGCCCGTGCGTCCAATGCGATGCGTGTGCGTATCAATGTCCCGGGCAATGTCGTAGTTGACCACGTTGCGTATGTGGGGAATGTCGAGGCCACGGGCGGCCACATCGGTGGCCACCAGGATGTCGCATTCCTTGCGCTTGAACTGCGTGATGACCTTGTTGCGGTCCGCCTGGTCCATGTCGCCGTGCAGGAGCAGGCAGTTGTACTCCTTCACCAGCAGATTGTTGGCCACCGTCTCGGCGTCCGCCTTCTTGGTGACAAACACGAGGACAGCGCCCTCAGAGAGGAACTTCACCAGATGGCAGAGCAGCCAGTTCCACTTTTGCAAGGGATTGGGAAAGACGTAAACGTGCTGTGTAATGTCCTGGTTGGCTTCATTCAGATCGCCCTGGACAATGCGCACCGGATCTGTCAGAATATCGCGAGCCAGACGCTCGATGCGTTTCTTGAACGTGGCCGAGAAGAGCAGCGTCTGTCGATCCGGGCGCACATGGTTGCAAATGGAGCGCACCTGCGGCTCGAAGCCCATGTGGAACATGCGATCCGCCTCGTCCAGCACGAGAAATGTGACGCGCCTCAAGTTGGTGGCCTTCATCTTGACCATGTCGATCATGCGACCGGGTGTGGCCACCACAATCTCACAGCCCTGCTCCAGTGCCTTGCTCTGTTCCCACTTGGAGCCACCGCCGTAGCAGCAGACCACGTTTATGTTGTACACCTTGCCGAACTTTTTGGCCTCGTTGTAGATCTGGAGCGAGAGCTCGCGCGTGGGCGCCAGAATCAGCCCAATTGGTCCGTCTCCCGCACGGAGCTCGCGCTGATCCATGAGATGGGTGAGCAGCGGCCAGATGAACGCTGCCGTCTTGCCGGAGCCCGTTTTGGCAATGCCGATGATGTCGCGCCCGGACAGAGCGGCGGGCACCGCCTGGGCCTGAATGGGCGTGGGCTGTGTGTACTCCGCCTTGCGCACGGCCTTCAGTAGCTGATCGTCGAACCCGAAGTGGCCGAAAGAGGTGACTGGCTTGGGGGGCTGGGCGCCGCTCACCTTGACGCCCAGCGTGTGGCGCAATTCGCGCACCTGCTCCTCGTTCAGCTGGGCGATATCCTCGTGCGGCGTATAGAAATTGCGCTCGAAGGGCTCATACTCGATCTCCGAGTGATAGATGGGCGGCAGGGGATCGATGTCCTTCTTTTTGGGTGGAGCTATCGGATTGCCATCCTCATCGTAGTCGATCTCCTGATCAGAGCCTTCGTCGCGCATGCCGGCATTGGGGTTCTCTTCCATGTAGCGGTAGTAGCTCTCCTCGTCGTCCTCATCGTCGATGTCACCGCGCACCCCTTTCTTTTCCAGCGGTGCTACATTTGTCTTTTGCTGCGGATCTGTGGCACGTACTTTCTCCTTTTCCACCTGCTGTTTGATGCCGGCCATGAACTGTTCCAGCGGATCCTCGTCCGAATCCGAGTCGTTCTTGGCTGGCGCACCCGGGGATCCGGGCGCTGGTATATAAGCCTGCTCCGGCGGAGCTTTCTGCGGCGGCTCGTCGTCGTCGTCGAAGTAATCGTCGTCCATGTGTTGCTTGCGCTTGCCCACGAAATTGGTGGAGTTTGTGTACTGGCTGATGGACTCCAGCGTCGAGTAGCCATGCTTTGATGTGTTGCCGGCTGTAGCAGCTGCAGCTGCGCCGCCTCTGGACTGATTGAAGCTAAATCGAAATCCACCGCCTCCACGATTGTTGCTTAATGCCGGCGGCGGCGGCACTGCGCTCATATTGTTGCCTGCGCCGGGCTGTTTCTTGTAGGGGAAGCCGCCGCCTCCGATGCCACGGTAGTTGCTCATGGCTGCAGTAGCTCCTAATTTGCTCTTGCTCTTTTCGAATAAAGCACCAATCAATACAACATACGCGAGAATAGAATTTGCAATATACACATTGTTGCCAACCTAATCAGACTTGTCATTACCCAGCACTGAATTAAAGAGTGTTTCGAGTGTTAACGATTAATCGCCGATAGTAATTGAATTTTTCTAAACAATACTATTTTCACTTTTTAACAAAATTAATGCTCTTTTACAATTCATTACTAGATTGAGATATTCGTACACCAATTATTATATTTTTGCAATTGTTCACAGTTTAGTGAGTTTATTCGGAGTCCAGTGCTGTCAATAGTGAATTTTCAATCGATTATTTTGTTGTGAGTTATCGAAACTTCGTTTTGTTGATATTTCGTCTGTTGGCAGCAACAGATGATAAGGGGAAAAAATGGTTGAACAAGCGGCGGAGGATTATGCTAAAATTATACAAAGTGCCGATCTGGAAAAGGAGGTATGTAGACACATCAATAACACCGATGTCAACTGGTAATAGCTCTGCTCTATCAATCGACAGATAAATCCACTATGCAACAACATAGACGACATGCTCGCACGACTGGACGAATTCGAAACGGTTTTGGCCTCCGTAAGTGTAATTTGAGTGCAAAACGTAAATAGCGTAATACAATTATTAATATGTATTAGGTACGGGCCGAGTCTAATGGCATTATGGCCAACCATGTATGCAGCATACTCAGCTTTAGCGCCAACTTCGATGAATTGCGTCAGCGAATCGACAAATTAGACACGTTTGTCGCCGCCGTAAATGAGAACTTGAATGAAGTGGAGAAATCTGTAGACGTCGCAGAGCAGGAGCTCAATGTAACCGACTACAGTATAAAGGGCCTGCTATTGAAACCCCTAAAGGCTAGGCTATCCACCGCAGAGACATCTAGTGCAACCCCCAAAACTAATTTGATTGATGGCGAATTCCAAGCGGTTCCCATCTTCAAAGCCGATGAATACTTTGGAACTAGGGCAGAGGAAGCCAATATTAGTGACTCCATATAAACTTTTAGTTGTTATTTAGTTATTAATTAGCAAATGGGTTTTGTGAGCGTGTAAATATTATCGTTTCTATTTATTTATTTGTTTACTACTCGCGAGTTGTTTTCTTTTATTCGTAACATGACGAGCTAATTAGCGGGCTTACATAAAAATCAACAGTTGGAATGGGGATCGTGACTTAGACCTTGCCCTCCTTGCTTTCATCGCTCTCCTTGCTTTCCTTATGCTCAGCGGAGCTGGCGGCGGGTTGGGCCTTGGGTTTGTTGAACAGCTCTGCAACGGGCACTGGACGGTGACGCAGTGGACTGTCTGGTCTGCTGGTACTAGTTTCCTCCACCTGGGGTTTCTCCTTCTCCTTCTCCTCCTTGGGAGCGCTTGTGGTCTTCACCTGTGTCGGCACGGGTATGTCACGTGTATGACGAGCGCCCTTTTGCGGCTCATCATGGGCAATTACGATTGAAGTGGGCTTTGGATCGCTTACGACATCTGGATTAATCGGACTGGGCCGGTCGAGACCACTTGAGCGATGGATTTTACCATCGTGCTGCAGTAATCCGTGCGCCACAATGCTGTCAGGTATCTCTGGGGGACTCTTGAGGCCGCCTGAACTCAATGGTTCATCTTTAAGCGGAGCGCTCGTTGGAGCTGCACTGCAAACTGCGCACAAGGCCACAAAAATCAACTGTAAAACAGTTAAATTATTAATGGGCTTGGAAAAAATCGCTCATGCGACTTACGAATTTCCTCATTGTTCCGAACTGTAGTAAAGTTAGTTGCCTACTGTGGGAGTTGCTATACTGCTCGGTGCATTATATGGATGCGGATCTCTCCAGACGGGAGCGCCAGTGAGATGTTTGACATAGCTGTTAACTAGTTCGTAAGCTGGTGATAATTGCAGTAAAGTTTCTATATCAATATTATTGTGTGAGTTTATACACAATATTTTTACTCATTGATACTAAATCGATAGAGCTGGATAATTAAAAGCTGCGAAAAATCACCGTAGCATCAATTGACACAGATATGTATATACATATACATATAACCAGTTATAGCTATATGTTTATATATATGTATATGTACTTAATAAATGTGTCAGATTTGACTTCGAATCAAATGTGGCCCAAGGCGGAGAGCTCTTGTCAGGTGGCTAGAATGTGATATGTTTAATACCTATGCATATATATTGGTATTGATCAGGTAGTAGCGGCTTGGATACCCGATTTATATGAGTCATCTATATTTAGCACCTTGTTGCGAAAAAGTTGAGTTGGGATTCGATGTTTGTCTAATGGGCGCAATACTCGGAAAGATTAATTAAAGTGTACATAACTATAAATGTTAAATCTTTTTTAATTGTGTAGCTTTACGTAAGACGATAATAATCATTTTCTGGAAAATTTTTCTTTGTACAAATGCCAGTTAATTTTAATTGCAACAGGTCGTTTTAAATAGGGCTAAATTAACAATTCAAAATGGTAAACGTTCTAGAGCAACCAGTGTGTGCCTACCCAATTTGAGCATAAGTATTCTGTGGCAAAATGTGTTTATTAGGTAGACAGCAAGAGTGTGCACACTGTTCGCAAGCATTGTGCAAATTTATAGTTGAATACATACAATAATAATAGTTAAATTAGCCGTAAATAATAGTAATAATGCCTACAGAAATTGAGAATATAAATCCAAGCGTTTATGGCAAGATCAAGGAGCGCTTGATAACAGCTAACGAAGAGAACGACAGCGTTGCCGATCCTTTTGACAAGCGTGAGATCTTTGGTGAGCATATCAAACACTTCGACAAATAACATTTTTATTATTAAAAGTTTTCTCAGAGCAGATCTCATACGAAACATCAATGATCCTGAGCACCCGCTCACATTAGAAGAGCTGCATGTCGTACAAGAGGAACTCATTAGCATCAGTGATAAACAGAATTCGGTACACATCAACTTTACGCCCACGATTCCCCATTGTTCGATGGCGACGTTGATAGGTCTCTCCATACGTGTGAAGCTGTTGCGATCACTGCCTCCGCGCTTCAAGGTTACCGTCGAGATAACGCCGGGCACGCACGCCTCAGAGTTCGCTGTGAACAAGCAGCTAGCAGACAAGGAACGGGTCGCAGCGGCACTGGAGAACAAGCATCTAGCCGAAGTCATAAATCAATGCATTTCGGCCAAGGGTTAACTTCGTTTCTGTATTTCTTTGTTTTAATAGAAAATATATTATATTTTAGCATATACATATGCTTCAACTTCTGGTGAAACTACTATATCTAACATTAACAACGAACGCCACGGTCGAAAGGGCTACAACTAATGCTTGGAACTGGACTTTAAGTTACTCGTGACCTGTGTTTCGATTTGATTGGGATTGGTGCTTGGACTTGAATTTGGATTGACTGGGCTTGAATGCGGCTTAGTGGGATCATACTTGAATGTCTTTACCAGCGGACCCTTGCCGGCCTTGGCAAAGCGTATCTCGTCCAATCGCTGACGCTCTTCGATCTCCTTGGTGATCTTCATGTTATCCCAGGCTGCAAGAGCACAAATTTAGTTTGATTAAGACTCACTTTCGGCTCGATTCGATTCAACTTACATTCCTTCATGCCCCCTACAAAGCCCTTCTTCTTGGCTGGCAGTGCACTGGGCGGGTGGGAGATCATTTTCTCAATCTTGAAGTAATCCCGCACCTTGGGAATACGCAGCAGGGCCACCTGCCCGAGCGAGATGAAGTTGCTGCAGGCCCAGTAAGTAAGAATGGCGGCAGGGAAGTTCATGGTGAATGGGAATATGACAATGGGCAAGGCACGTAGCACGTACTTCATGGTGTTCATATTTGCAGCCGACAGACGGGCGCTGTCAGTGCCCAGTTCAATGGTGAGGTAGAGCGTGGCACTGGTTATAACCGGCAGCAGATAATATGGGTCGGCCAGAGTGAGATCGGTGAACCAGAAGAGGCCACCATCACGCATCGATTCGACTGGCGTATTGGCCATCTGACGCAGACCCATAAAGAAGGAGATGAAGAGAGGTGCCTGAGCCAATGGCACAATCATATTCTTGAGAGGATTAACGCCCTTCTCGCGCATGAACAGCATCATTTCCTGGGCGTAGCGGGCCGATTCGATGGCATTACCCGACTGTCGAGCCTCTGTCATCTTCAGCTGCAACACCTGCATCTGTGGCATATTGTTGCTCATTTTGGCGGAGTTACGCTGTGCCAGGATGACCAGAGGAAAGATTAATGTGCGTACGCAGAGCGTGCCTATGGCAATGGCGCCCCACCAGGGAATGTCCCATGTACAGTGCAAGAATTCCATACAGTTCTGAATCATGCCAGGCGGTGACCAACCACCTAGTCCAATTGAAGCAAACGACGGCTCGCCGGCTTCCATAAAGCTTTCCGTGACTAAATTGGATGGCGGAGTTGGGGCATCCGGTATGGCAGGTAGGTCCACAATTTCCTTGCTGGGCACCGATTCAACAGTTATATCTTTCTGACTGCTCGCAAAGCGTATTGCACCTGGCGCCGAGGCATAAAGAGGGATCAGAGGTGCAGCAATTATACGGTTACTTAGCTGGTTGCTCCAACTGCTACTCAGGTGCATGTCGCGACTACTGCCACCTAAAGAAAACATCTGCAAAGAGTTTCCTCTATACAATCCATGGATATTCATTGCCATTTCATTCATAACAAACCGCTCTTTGCAGGTTATGTCATAGGAAGCTCGCGGGGAGATAATCGCCGGCTGCTATTCCTACTTACCTGTGTAGAAGCTCTGTTGCATGTTGAGTTCAGTGTGAGCACCGCTTGGGTTGCCCTCCAAATTTGCATTCGTTTAGACATCATCTTTCAATTTTATTTGAACTTATAAATTTCTAAAAAATGTACGCATTTACGCTTCGACGAGCAGAAAGGGATAGCAACTACGTTCGCTCACAGATGGTCAGTTCAGAACATATGTTGTGCCAGGGATGGGTTAACAATAAACTTTTGGGCAATTTTTGGTACGCTTCAACTTCTGATTTAAATTTTAAAACAACAAAATTTATTTTGATGGGCTAAAATTGTTGAGTTTGATCACAAACAAGCTGGCTCCGATCTTCTGCTCTTTAATCAGTATTATTTGATGTAAATTGCGATTAAAGAATATGGCACTAAAAAATACCACAAATACCGAAAAACGGAAACCGTTACTTTTGTTACTATTGCATCAAAATTTTCAACAATTAGTTTTTGTTGTAAAAACACAAATATTTGAATAAAATGAATCGTAAAGTAATCAATATTTTGATTTAACAATCTTTAAAAAATGTGTATAGTTCAAAGTATATTTATTTTAAATGTTTAATATATCAAAATAAATTATAAACAAATTTTTAATATTTAATGAGATATATTATTTAATATAAAAATAAAAAGAAATGTAAAGCGCGCCTATGATTGAAGTAGTGTAGAAATACGCTTATTTATACAGTTACTTATTAATAAAAGTATATCAAAATTAATCATACGCATCGGATAACCGAACACACGCAAAGAGAGAGCGGTGCTATTGGAGCGAGTTAAGTTGTTGCGCTCTTCTCGATCGTCAGCAACAAACGGTCGGTGGCTCTCTTAACTTCAGTCGTTTGTCGATGTCCGAGGCGAGCAGTTGTGGTGCGCACGCGTAGCACTTGCACACACAAATCGGGGAAGAAAGACAGACAGCAAGAAGAAGACAAGCACACTGAGCGGCCGACGGGTAAATTTGAAATTCTGTCAGTTTTCAGTTAGTCGCGAGCACTCCAGCAAATCGGTTAAATTCGAAATTAACAAAGTTGCACTTTTGTTGCATTGCAATTTGATTTGTTTTTTTCTTCGTCGTATTTTTTTGGCTGCCGCTGCAATAGCTGGTGCAGTCAACAAAAGTTCTTTGCGCAGCTGACGCTGCTGCTGCTGCCGTCGTCGCCTGTCGCAGTTGCATTTTCAATAAACGCGTTTTCTTTTGGCACGTTGCGTGGGCGCCCCCTGCCATGCGCCTGTCTGCCACGCGGAGTTCGTGTGTGTGCGTATGTGAGCGAGCGCGTGTGTGTGTCTGTGTTAGTTAATGTGTTTGTGTTGCTAATTAAAGCAACAACAACTGCAACTGCAATAGCAGCAACAACAATAACAACAGCTAGAAACCAGAAACGATAACTTTGACGCAAGCCAAACAAAGTGCTATCGATAAATGCAATTAAGCTCATTCACAAATTGGAGCAGCAACAACAACAACAACGCCACAACAACAACAGCAGCAACAAGTGCAACAGGTGTTGGGCTGCCTAGTTAAATACAATTTTTGTTTTTGTTTTGTGTGGTAAGTTTCCTATTTGGTTTTTATATTATTATTTTTAATTGAAAACATATTATTGTTTGCCATCTTATTAGCGTTCAGCATCTGCTTGCATAAGTTGCCAGTTGAAATAATATTTATTGGCTCCGCGACGCGCTCCAACTAGATCAATTACGCGGAACAATAATTCCGATAAGAATTGCGTTGCCATCCCTTTCGCACCCACTGCATCAAGTGCAGCTCATTAAATGCTTAAACTATTACAAACAACTTGGTTTATGAGCTGACAGAGAGAGGTTGGTTGGGGGCAGGAGTAGGTGTAAGGGTGACTATGTGGAGCCCGGAGAAAATGAATATTCTTATCAATAGGAAAAAAAAAAGGAAAACCAATTGCTATGAATATATCATAAAATCTTTAATTTAAGCTAGTTACGTTGCTTGAATGACCCATTTCTATAGATTTATGATACGAGATTATACTTTATTTAGAACACTTTGAGTTTGTTAGTTATAATTAGCATA